TTTGGTGCTTGACCGTGAAAAAACAAATACAACAGATGGAAGATCCACAGAGAACATGAGGAGGGCAAATACCAATAATAATATAATAATAATTCGAGGTTCTCATATACCGCTTTGTCACAACCTAGTTCGTAGGTCGTCTCAAAGCGGTTCACAAATTATTATCCGTGGTTATAGGGCCTTTGCAACCAGCCAATATCTTTCTCAACTCACTGGGGAGCATACAGCCGGTGCTGCTATTTCGGCGCTCACAGTTAGCATTCAACAATTCAAGCACTGCCCAACCACGTACTTATTTACAGCTGAGTAGACTGGAACAAGCGGAGTAAAGTATCTTGCTCAAAGATACAATACAGTGCCGTGTTGTGACTCTAATCCGCGACCCTTCGGTCACGAGCAAGGCGTCCTACCATTAGACTACCGTGCCTCCTAACAATAAAATGGTTCTACTTGAATGACGGGCACGTGGTACATGCATACAAATTTAAAGGAAAATTGGAGAAAAGGAGAAATAATGTTCTATATATATTATGTGTAGTTATGGACAAAGAATCAATCGCGGAATGACACCATGGCGGGATGGCTGTGTCGGTTACGTGCACAGCAACACGCTCTCGCTGAGGAACGGACGAATACATTATGTAAAATTACGTGAATGATTTAGAAAATGATATAAGTATTATGTGTTTTGCATGATATTTAATTACCTTTATTTTCACGATAATGGTTCAAATGGATTAGTTGCGATGATATTTACTCGCAAAATCATAAACAAATAATAGAAGAATACACTTGTTATCTGTGTTCGGACAATCCCGGACTTGTGACCTGTGTTCGGACAATCCGGGACTTGTTACCTGTGTTCGGACAATCCCGGAATCCCGGACTTGTTACCTGTGTTCGGACAATCCCGGACTTGTTACCCGTGTTCGGATAATCTCGGACTTGTTACCTGTGTTCGGACAATCTCGGACTTGTTATCTGTGTTCGGACAATCTCGGACTTGTTACCTGTGTTCGGACAATCTCGGACATATAATGTTTTTGTTTGTAAAGAGATCGATCTCATGAAATTTCAATATTCAAATGTGTCCAACCTGAAATGAAACCTTCAGTGATCTGGCACTTTCCAACGTGCCATCCTTCTTTTATTGTAACTTGCAAAACTGTTTTCTAAAATGTGGATTACCCTACCTGATTGTGAACTATTTTACGCTCATTACAAGAGTACATTTGAAGACGCAGGTACCCACTGTTTATTAGACTGTGGCGAGTTAGAATTTGTAAATTTACGGGATACTCTTACTAGGAATTTGGTATATGAATATCCCATGCCTATTTATGTGTCTTTCGACCAGGCAGACAGAGATGTCCTGGCCATGTATTCATGAAACCGTACTCATGCTCAAGCATGGATTTTGTGCTCATGCCGGCTTTTTTGTTACCTGCTTAAATCATTTAACACGGTAAAAAGTAAAGTGTACACATTAGAAACAGTATTCGGCTTTAAGTCTATCCAACATTCTTCCAAAATTATTTACAAAATGTGAGTTAATATGAACTGGACACAGGAATAAGAAATTGCACATTATCCGAGTTTGAGCATGAAAACGGTTTCATGGATACGGGAACAGGATGACGATGTTAAATCTCCCACGTAATTTATCAAAGTTTGCCTTATATCTTCCGAAAAGGCGTTCACTGTGACTACCCAGTTAATGCTAGTTTATTTTATAGCAGTCATAACAATGTTAGTGATATCATCACCCACTTATCACTGATTGATTGACTTGTCTATTTCTTCTTCGAGCTGTGATTATGAAATGATATTTATCAATTTTTGTTTCATCCTATTTTATCTTATGGCACTTGCAATCACTGTTTTCATCTATATTGTAATGTTTATTATTATTGGTGATATAAATAGATGATGATGTGTTCGGACAAATAAGCACGGCCTGTTTTACAGTCTGTACTTGTCAAGTAATGAAAAACAAAACCTTTCGTGCGAGAAGAAAATAGTTCGCAGTAGCGAGGATGGGTTATGGTCGGATCTGTGAAATATAAATTACATTTAACTCTTACTAGGCGAATGGTAGAGGTATCAAGACATGGAGAGTGATCAGTTATAAGGGGACATAAATGTTTTCATTCTTGATTCGCGTACCTAAGTCTTTGCTTCCGAAATACTACGCATGCGCAAAACACATGTGAATAACGCATTTCTCCCAGGGTCATTGCGTTACGCTCCATTCGCCTATGTAAAAGTCATTATATTTATTTCGTAAATAGATGGCCGCGACCAGTGCCAAAACAAACAGAAACATCCAGTGTCGGAAAAGGATGTTTTCGTTTCAGACAGCTTATAATTGTGTTGGGTAATTTCTGTATACGATCCCCAGGGGACTCTACTATGCACACCCTTATGTACTCGCCAACCTGTTAAAATTAAGAGTGACGCGCAATCGAAACGTATCTCAAAATCAATGATTGTATTGAAATTGAAATATATTTCATCATTCAACACAGAGGAACTCATTAGATATTGGAACCTACCTAGTATTGCGTTTTAAGTGGGGTAAACCACACCGGAAGTAAAATCCACAGCGGATGTATATAACACATGTAACTTGTGTCTCACAAATATTTCTGAAAAACAATTCGACGTAATATTGATAAGAAAATAACCATATTTATGACACATTTATGAAGTCAAACATGGTGTAATACAATTTAAGATGACTAAAATGATTAAATCATAATTTTATATCATAACGTTATACAAGTACGTTTGTAATAATCTTATAACGGTGGGTAGCGTTTAGAGAGATGACTTGAAGGAACCGCATTGTGTTCTGGGAGAGAGTTTGTTCCCTTTCAGTTAGATGGTGACCCTATGAACGCAATTTCTACTGGTAATGCTTAAAGTTGAACTCTCAGTGGAAACGTAAATAATAATATACAGCATTTGATATAGCGTCCTATCTAGCTTACATACGCCACTCTAAAGCGCCTTTGTAGTACATAGATATATATGTATACAATTAATACAATTAACGTATACATTAATTCAATAAAAAAAATGAGGAATTCGCAGATGCTGCCTTATCAGGCGCTAACTACTTGTCATATGCCACCTGGCTAATATCTCCCTATGTGTGTATGCCTGCGTGTGTGCTGGAGATGTCATGTGCTCTGTTTGTATGGGGACCGTACTTCCAATGCCACCTTACTTGAATGCTACAGCACAGATACTGGTTGTTGGAGTTGTATGGGCAGGAGCAAAACACTTTCTCTGAATATCAATGCGTATGATGACTTCGGGGATCGAAACCCGGCCGCCTGCGTGGAAGGCCGGAGTGTTAATCACTCGACCAATCCGCCCAATGATATAAGTATATCAAGGAAATTTTTAAAGCTATACACTGTACATTGCTCAGATTTATGTACGAAACGTGAATAGAGAAATATTAAAAGAAAATAAATATAAATAAAAAAGCAAACATCTTATATAAAATGATTGATCATGTTTGAACTGTGTCTACTGATGAGTAACATACCCTGTATATTTAACAAACAACATGTACACAACTAGTGATTTAAACAACGAGTCCTCTATACACATAACAATCGGGGTATTTTCTTTCGAGGTGAGTCGTTATCAACGTAAAGCTATATATACTGTATGCATTTAGTTATGATTTACTTCCCGTCATGGATTTTGAACCCGTTCATGTGATACTCGTGTAAACCACAAACCCGTACCATGTCCACGGGTATCGTAACGCTTTCCTCTGTCAGAATGTCACCATAACAACACTCAGCAAGCCTCCGAACAGTGGACGTGGACAGGATCAAGGATAAACGCCGACATTCCTCACAGTGAACTCCAACTGGCATCAAGGTATGCAGAAAATATATTTCCCTGAGCTAGTCTATAATGCTTGATGTTCATAACATTTTGATTTATATGAATTATTGCATATATAATTGGAGACAATTTCTGTCATGCAAAAACAATATAAAGCTTCTTGGTAACCCGGATTTTAGAGGATTTCTTTCAGTTAAGTTGTCTGGTTTGTTATATCAACACAAACTTCCTTAATATCACAACATTATCATTATTATTATGGTGTATTTACAACTTTGTATATGGGTTTTGAGCTCCAACTCTTGTTATTGATTAGTGTGCAGCTCCGAATTATTTGAACTACTTTTATTACATATTAAATTTAAAATACAAAAAATGATATTCGTGTAAGTAAGTATAGTTCAGTATAGTTCAGTGTTTAATCTGCTAGCCAATGGCCAGTTGTATCGGGTCTAAGTGTAACCATGGACTGTGTGGCCTACAAACTGTACAATCTTGCTGGCCAAGCATTATCTATTGAGAAAAAATCAATTATTGAGAAAATCAATTTTCTAATTCAAGAAATAAATCCTATATTGATATGCTGGAGCTGCTGATCTATGTATATATGTTTATTTTAATTTTCAAATCACGATATAGTTCTCATTCAAAATAATCGTTAATAAGCCTGACGTAAATTTTCGACACCTAATTAATTGGCTATTGAAATGAATGATAACCATGCATATAATTATACATGTACATTTGTTGTCACCTGCGGATTTATATGGAGAGAGCTTACATAGTCCAAACCCTTTGACAATTTCCCATCTTTGTCAATAAAATATTTTGAAATTTAATTTTATGACAGTAAGTTTATTTGTACTTGCATAATTTCAAAACAAATTTACCTTTCTTAAATGCATGTTTAAAATAAATGCAACTTCCCATTTTTATGATTTTAAACACTTAATGTAAGAACGAACAAAACAAAACAAAAATGTAGAGAAAATGTAAGGAATTAGGTAAAGATATCAAAATAGGAAGAATGTGAGATTTAACGTGCATTTATAATTGTAATTGCAAACAAAATATTTAAGTGAAGTTTTGAAAAGTGACACCTAAAGAATGTTTGGAGTTATCTCCCGTCTTGTCATGGATAACCAGAAAACGCCCAAGACATAAGATTACTTCCTCGATCAGCGAATATCGAACATATCATCGATATCGCGACGTCAGCAGCATAAAAAGGTAATTTGTTCAAATATTCGTATGGTAAATGATGTTTTTGTTGCCTTACACACTTGTAAATATGTATATTGGACGGATTAATTTGAAAAGAATTCGATATCAATGGTAAGTTTACACAAACCGAAAGTTGGAACAAAATATTAAGTTTTGTCTAAAAGAATGACTCATATTTTATCGAGATTGCTAGATCATATGTTATGTGATGGCGTTTCTTCAATTTCATGTTTAATCAGGCATGTATTGTTTAAGTGAAAACACTATATTTTATTTTTTCATGTAACAATTGTTTTTTTTCAGCCTTAGTGACCAATATCGCCTTTAATAGATATACAATCATACACCGAACGCCATATGTAACTTATACTACAAATACATTACAGTATTACTTCCTCCGAGCACCGGTCACTTTATTCAGACAGTTGTTCTCGTCCCAGAATTGCTTGATAGACTAACAATAATGAATCCTGACTATTTTACGAGTTACCTCCCTTGAAACGATAAATTATCGTGGTACAGGTAGAATTTAATGATCTAGGCAAAGTTCCTTCGATTTTAAAATGTATAATAGTCATATGTTTATCAAACCGTGGTATAAATCATACTACACCAAAAGTATAAACGTTACATCGTACAATGTGCATATCAAGCCAACTTAAATGATAACTCACCTGTACAGATAAACACCTAGATATACACACCTATACAGATAAACACCTATATATACTCACCTGTACAGATAAACACCTAGATATACACACCAGTACAGTTACACACCTAGATATACACACCTGTACAGATCAACACCTATATACCATGTATGTACACACATGTACAGTAAAACTACATATATGTACTCACTAGTATAGTTATGCTACATACATGTACACACATGTACAGTTAAACTACACACATGTACACAGGTATAGTTATGATACCTGTATGAACACACATGTACAATAAAACTACATATATGTACACTAGTATAGTTATATAACATGTATGTACAAACATGTACAGTTAAACTACATTTATGTACACCAGTATAGTTATGCTACATGTATATACACACATGTACATTTAAACTACACACATGTACACAAGTATGGTTACATGTATGTACATACATGTACAGTTAAAATACAGACATGTACAGTTAAACTACACACATGTACACTAGTATAGTTATGCTACATGTATGTACACACATGTACAGTTAAACTACACACATGTACACTAGTATGGTTACATGTATGTACATACATGTTCAGTTAAACTACATATATGTACACTAGTATAGTTATGCTACATATGTGTACACCAGTATAGTAATGCTACATGTATTTACACACAAATACAATTAAACTACACACATGTACACTAGTATGGTTACATGTATGTACATACATGTTCAGTTAAAATACAGACATGTACAGTTAAACTACACACACTTACACTAGTATAGTTATGCTACATGTATGTACACACAAATACAATTAAACTACACACATGTACACTAGTATGGTTACATGTATGTACATACATGTTCAGTTAAAATACAGACACGTACAGTTAAACTACACACACTTACACTAGTATAGTTATGCTCCATGTATGTACACACAAATACAATTAAACTACTCACATGTACACTAGTATGGTTACATGTATGTACATACATGTTCAGTTAAACTACATATATGTACACTAGTATAGTTATGCTACATATGTGTACACTAGTATAGTTATGCTACATGTATGTACACACAAATACAATTAAACTACACACATGTACACTAGTATGGTTACATGTATGTACATACATGTTCAGTTAAAATACAGACATGTACAGTTAAACTACACACACTTACACTAGTATAGTTATGCTACATGTATGTACATATATGTACACTAGTATAGTAATGATACCTGTATGTACACACATGTACAGTTAAACTACACACATGTACAATTAAACTACATATATGTACACTAGTATAGTAATGCTACATGTATGTACACACATGTACAATTAATCAACACACATGTACAGTTAAACTACATACATGTACAGTTAAACTACATACATGTACAGTTAAACTACATACATGTACAGTTAAACTACACACACTTACACTAGTATAGTTATGCTACATGTATGTACATGTATGTACACTAGTATAGTAATGATACCTGTATGTACACACATGTACAGTTAAACTACACACATGTACACTAGTATAGGTATGCTACATGTATGTACACACATGTACAGTTAAACAACATATATGTACACTAGTATAGTTATGATGCATGCATGTACACACTAGTACAATTAAACTACATGTATGTACACACATGTACAGTTAAACAACATATATGTACACTAGTATAGTTATGCTGCATGTATGTACACACTAGTACAATTAAACTACATGTATGTACACACATGTACAGTTAAACAACATATATGTACACTAGTATAGTTATGATGCATGCATGTACACACTAGTACAATTAAACTACATGTATGTACACACATGTACAGTTAAACAACATATATGTACACTAGTATAGTTATGATGCATGCATGTACACACTAGTACAATTAAACTACATGTATGTACACACATGTACAGTTAAACAACATATATGTACACTAGTATAGTTATGATGCATGCATGTACACACTAGTACAATTAAACTACATGTATGTACACACATGTACAGTTAAACTACACACATGTACACTAGTATAGTTATGCTTCATGTCTGTACATGTATGTACACTAGTATAGTAATGATACATGTATGTACATACATGTGCAATTAAACTACACACATGTACAACTAAACTACATATATGTACACTAGTATAGCTATGCTACATGTATGTACATACATGTGCAATTAAACTACACACATGTACCCTAGTATAGTTATGATCCCTGTATGTACATATATGTACAATTAAGCTACATATATGTACACTAGTATAGTTATGATACATGTATACAATGTACATACAAGTACAATTAAACTACACACATGTACCCTAGTATAGTTATGCTACATGTATGTACACTAGTATAGTTATGCTACATTTATGTACACACATGTACAGTTAAACTACACACATGTACACTAGTATAGTAATAATGCCTGTATGTACACACAAGTACAATTAAGCTACATATATGTACACTAGTATAGCTATGCTACATGTATGTACAAACATGTACAGTTAAACTACATACATGTACCCTAGTATAGTAATGCTACCTGTATGGACACACAAGAACAATTAAACTACATTTATGTACAGTAGTACAGTAATGTTACCTGTATGTACACACAATTACAATTAAACTACATATATGTACACTAGTATAGTAATGATACCTGTATGTACACACAAGTACAACTAAGCTACATATATGTACACTAGTATAGTAATGTTATCTGTGTGTACACAAAAGTACAATTAAACTACATATATGTACACTAGTATCGTAATGTTATCTGTATGTACACACAAGTACAATTAAACTAAATATATGTACCCTAGTATAGTTATGATACCTGTATGTACACACAAGCACAATTAAACTACAGACATGTACCCTAGTATAGTTATGATACCTGTATGTACACACAAGTACAATTAAACTACATATATGTACACTAGTATAGTAATGTAACCTGTATGTACACACAAGTACAATTAAACTACACACATGTACCCTAGTATAGTTATGATATCTGTGTGTACACAAAAGTACAATTAAACTACATATATGTACACTAGTGTAGTAATGTTACCTGTATGTACACACAAGTACAATTAAACTAAATATATGTACCCTAGTTTAGTTATGATACCTGTTTGTACACACAAGTACAACTAAACTACATATATGTACACTAGTATAGCTATGCTACATGTATGTACATACATGTGCAATTAAACTACATATATGTACCCTAGTATAGTTATGATATCTGTGTGTACACAAAAGTACAATTAAACTACATATATGTACACTAGTGTAGTAATGTTACCTGTATGTACATACATGTGCAATTAAACTACATATATGTACCCTAGTATAGTTATGATATCTGTGTGTACACAAAAGTACAATTAAACTACATATATGTACACTAGTGTAGTAATGTTACCTGTATGTACACACATGTACAACTAAACTACATATATGTACACTAGTATAGCTATGCTACATGTATGTACACACAAGTACAATTAAACTACATATATGTACACTAGTATAGTTATGATACCTGTTTGTACACACAAGTACAACTTAACTACCTATATGTACACTAGTATAGCTATGCTACATGTATGTACATACATGTGCAATTAAACTACACACATGTACCCTAGTATAGTAATGCTACATGTATGTACAGTAGTATAGTTATGCTACATGTATGTACACACATGTACAGATAAACTACATATATGTACACTAGTATAGCTATGCTACATGTATGTACATACAAGTACAACAAAACTACATATATGTACACTAGTATAGTTATGCTACATGTATGTACAGTAGTATAGTTATGCTACATGTATGTACACACATGTTCAGATAAACACCTAAATACCATGTATGTACACACAAGTACAATTAAACTAAATATATGTACACTAGTATAGTAATGCTATATGTATGTACACACATGTACAATTAATCAAAACACATGTACAGTTAAACTACATACATGTACAGTTTAACTACACACATGTACACTAGTATATTTAAACTACATATATGTACACTAGTATAGTAATGTTACATGTATGTACACACATGTACAGTTAAACTACACACATGTACACTAGTATAGGTATGCTACATGTATGTACACACATGTACAGTTAAACTACATATATGTACACTAGTATAGTAATGCTACATATATGTACACATATGTACAGTTAAACTACACACATGTACCCTAGTATAGTT